TACTATGGCGCAGTCGAGCAGCAGTCATGTCCCGAGGCAATCGTCCTGTCATGGCCGGTATAACGGATTTTGTTCCATATAGGAGCGAAGTCCGAAAGCACAAGAACGGTACGTTCGTCCCACGAAGCGGCCGCCATCCCGGCGGCGCGGAAAACTACTCGCCTTTTTCGTGCACGCTGCAAATCGTCTCATTTCACAAAAGAATCAGGCACCGCTCCTCCAGAAGTCCGTGCCGTGCCGCCATGCAAAGAGTCTTTTAGGTCTTTTACCACTTATCAATTAACGAATGGAGATATCAACTAGATAAAGGTTGCCGCCCGGTGTCGCTAGTAGTACGGTTACCATAGAAACCTCCCTGGCCCAAAATGGAGATCACTATCGGCGCTTCTGACGTCGTGCATCTATTTTGCGTCGTGTCGCTACTCTGGCAGTTACGCTGCCATAGAGTGGCTCTAGTCTGGGCTTAAGCTGAAATGAAGTATACAACCAGCGCCGCAACCGCAAAGACCGATTAAATAGGGAGTTTTCGTAGATCGTTCTGGCGTCTCCGCTACGTTGTCCGCTACGCCTCCGCAACTACTGCGCATGCGCCAATCTAGCGCAGACCTTGCGGAGTTGCGGACGTGGTTGCGGAGGCGCCTTACGAAATAGCGGATCTCGAAATACGCTGGCCCTTTGATTGTGTGTCTTTTTATCTATCTTATTTTATTTATACATATATACGCGTATAAATCAAGAACACAACACTTTAAAGGGAAGCTACGGAGCTTCTTGGAAAAAATTAGTTAGAAGTGAATTCTAGTGTATTTTTACCCCGTGAACCCGAATACCGAAACCATTTGCTGCGTAAGTATTGTTAAACGCGTGAAAAACGCGAAAGACAGTCGCTGTCCGTGACGTCATCGACGGATCTTTTGGCTGCCCAAGGCTAGGGAGGCGGGGCTTCAGCCCTATTTTGAAATTGCTCTTATGGCTCTCCGGCGGGTCGCATTGAAATATAATTTTGATATCTGTTATTCTAAAGGCCAAATGAACGCAATTCAAGCGTTTTTTATCAAATGTAGAAGTGCCCCATCTTCCCTTTAAGAAAAAACGGGTGTAGTCGGGTGTATCAGCAGCACAGGCACGCCTTTCCTGAAAGATGCACCCTCAGTTGCCCAGCCAGTGTATTTGTGCACCGACAATGAGCATCCGCCTCTCCCTTAAAACCTCTAGATGTATCAGTGCACCGCCAGGCTAGCCACGCGCCCCGACCAACATGTGCTTGGATGCCCTCTTGGGGGTCACTTTTGGGTTGGGCAGTTTCTTAGGAAGTATGGAACTGTTTTGTTCACTCGGTATTGACAGTAGAGTAGACGCTATGCTTGTTTTAGGCCAATCGGGTCTCCGGGTAGGATCACGTGACTACAGTCTCCAAGCTAGAGATAAGGCAGAGCACGGCACCTGCCTGAAGGCCAAGGCCACGGGTAGCATCCACTGCACTGTACGTGGCTTGCACAGGACGTCATTTCCGTTGCCCTCCAGAGAAGAGGGAAAGAAGGAGCTCCCCTCTTACCAGGACCCTGTTTTGTGCCTCCCGGATTTGCACAGGCGTCGCTATTCTCCCCCCAGAAGATTATAGAAGATTAACCTGTCACTCAAAATTCTTACAAAAGCAGCTTCTCTCTCCTCCTTTTACTTGGTGTTCAAATCTGTGCGATGTGACGTCAGTGCAAGGAGCTTTCACATGACGTCATTTCCGACGCCCTCCAGGGAAGAGGGGGAGAAGGAGCTCCCCTCTTATCAGGATCCTCCTTTGTGCCTCCCGGATTAGCACAGGTGTCACTATTCTCCTCCCAGATGATTAAAGAAGATAAACCTGTCACTCAAAATTCTTACAAAAGCAGCTTCCCCTCCTCCTCTTACATGGTATTCAGAAGTATGCGATGTGACGTCAGTGCAAGGAGCCCATAGGGGACAAATCCTCTAGCTGCATTCATTGTTGGGATAACCCTGAAGATAAGCCTTCGCGAGGGCGACCACTTTTGGCCTTGAAGGAGCTGCTATTTTCGTATACTTCTCTCTTTTCTTTCTCTCTCTAAGCTGAAAGCGTGGAAGAGGCTACGCAGTCGTCGGACCGATGAACCGGAGGCTTTTTTTATGCCTTGAGTCCGCTGTCTGGGCGCGGGTAATGGCAAGAGCGTGGTCATGTGGCAAAGGTTTCACGAGTGACGTAGTAGCTCTTTCCGATCCGGAAATGTCTGATTCCCGGCCTAGTTTCTTGTGTGCTGTGCTGCGACCAGCGGGGCTGCAAGAGATTTTGTCCGTGACAACGTATTCGAGTGTACCAAGGCTTCCAGTGTTTAAAAAGTCCAACGTACATCGGCAACAAGCGATTTCTTCAAAAAATCCCAATGAATTCATGTGATGCGTTTAGTGTTCGGTTTGGCAAATTACTTCTTCTGCCACATCGTGTTGAATCTTCACAGACCCCTTTCTTTCCGTGTTTGTGTTTGTGTGGTTCTGCAGTGCCCGTGTCAACATCTAGCTTGGATTACATATTTCAAGTCCGATATTTTCATCGTAAGTGCGCTGCAACCTACTCCTTTGCAGCAATTGACCGTTATGTTCCTGATTACGTCTAAAATTAGGCAGTCTCTATTTCCTAGCAGCCGGGAGAATAATTTCCCCGAAAATCTATCAGCAGTCGCCTGCCATTAGCTGTCTACAATCATGTGATACCCCCACCCGTTCACGTCGCTTCGTGGCGACAGTATGCGGCGGCTCATTAAAAAAAGTGTTCACCCTACGTGTGATACCCGTATATATCACCTCGCGCATATAACCTGGGACGGCTCATTGCAAAAAAAAAAAAAAAGAGATGTTTATAGAGGAAAGCTAACCTGAGCTGTCGATGAAACGTCGTTCGATGAAGTGATTATATCGCCAATGAGTGACGACTGCCGGCACGATTTCGGGTAAATAATCCTGCCGGTTGCTGAGAGAATAGACACTACCTAAGAATCACCCCGGTTCTTGTTCGCTCAGTAATCTCCTCAGTTGTGTAACAGCTTCGTTGTACATCTTCACATATCACAGATTGCTTGCACGTTTGTACTTGTTTACGGAATAGGCTGTCTAATAAACTTATAGGAGATTTGAAAACAATCCGTTGTGTCTGTTTACCTGCCTTTTTGCAACCACCTGGGCGCGTACATTTTTTTACAGGTTTCCTTGAGGTGGGTGCACAAAGAGGTGTAATGGTACATCATTGAATGAGGTGTATATATGTTCCATATGTGCGGGGTGGGTGTAAAAACGATGTAATAGTAAACCCTGTTGGGCGGGTGTATCTCTGTTCCCTATGAGCTGGGTGGGTGTAAACAACGGTGTAATAGCAAACACTGTTGGTGGGTGTAGAGAAGGGAATACTTGTACACCTTAAATTGGGGTGTACCTGCACACCGAAACGACAGTGAGGGCATAAGAAAGGAGTAGTGACACACCCCAGTATGGGGTGTATCTGTGCACCCCGAATGCTGAAGGTGTACAAAAGGGTGCACATATGCACCCCTAAAGAGGGTGTATATATGCACTTCGTTTTGAGGTGTACCTCTACACCTTTATGGGTGTAGTATATGTGGCAGCACTTACACCCCCTGTGGGTGTACCCACCACACCCTTTTTTTTAGAGTGAACGATGACGACGTTGAGAGGATGACACACCGAGCGACGGCGCTGCCTCAACCTGAGCGCTGGTGCCTCGGAGGCGGCAGCTTCTACTTTTGACTGGGCTACCTCCTTGGAGCCTAATGCTTCGACCGCAGTGAACCCCAGTGAGCAACAGCGCCATAATATTCCGGAGGCTCCTTCATGCACCGATCGAACGGCGCGCCAGATCCCCCAGCTCGCTTCTCACCCGCCCAAGCCGCCTCCACGAAATCTGGACTTCTGCGAATACGCACTCCCCAATATCAACAATCCATGTCGTCGTCATTATGCATGTACATACTGATGACATTATCATGTTCACTAGACGCGGCACCGCGGTCCTCCATGGTACAAGCTAGTGCCTTTCCGCGGAGCCGCGGCTCTCCAGAGACAAATAAAGTCTAAAGACTAAAGACAAAAACCTTCGCTGACAGTCAGTAGCGCCTTAAAAAAAAATTTAAAAAAATCACAATAGTGTTTCCCCGTTTATAGAATACAACTTTGAAAGCTACACCATACCAGTGGCGCACATTAGTGAAATAACATAACACTGCTTTGGCGGCTCCGAAAACATCAAATACACATCCTCTATTTCACTCCATTGTCACGTGACACTGACACGACCTTGGATTGGCTCCGGTGGCTCGTAGCATTCGCCGCGCTCGGACGTCAGGACCTTATCGCCGGGGTTCCAGAATCGGACCTTTCCATTGTCCGGCTGAAACCACCTGGCGACCGTCCCTGCTAGACAACAAGCACGGGATCGCCAAGACAGACACAGACTTTGTCCCCATCACGATAACTCCTCTCCTCGTTTTTTTCCTTTTTTTTTTTTTTTTGTCTCGTTCGAGCGGAGCAACCCCTCACACACAGTGTTTACAAAGAGGCCCGCTTTGTTGACACTGCGCGTGCGCACAAACCAAATTCGGGAGAATTGCGAATGAAGCTCCTGCGCATGCTCAGTGGCGTGACGTCACTGAGTTGAGTTGGTCTAAACTGTATAGGGTGACTAACGAACGGCCTTTGAACCACACTCAAACAGTAAAGTGAACTCTTGAGCGCCTCGAACACCAGTAGATACGCGGTCACACTACCTACATACATCGTTCGACAGACCCGAGGACGAAACCATCTGCGGGCCGGCAGGCATGCTCGAAGCATGCATACATCGATTTCGCGCGATATGAACCGATTCTCCATCCACTGGAAAGACAAAAAAAAAAAAAAAATAATAAATCGTATCATGTTTTTCCGACGAGATGCGCTCGTCAACGGAACGTGAAGTGCGTATAGCTGGAATTTGTTACCGCAGTAGCACCGATTTATCTTGCCCACTGCACGGCACGTGTGAACAGCAGGCAAACCTCTCGAGATAATACTTCAAACCTGCACGGTGGGTCATTATAAAAGGCTCGTGGTTGCTCGCGCGCCAAACCAGTTTGACGTGCTGCTGACGGAGAGACAGGAGCACCTGTAGTCGCGAGGAAATCAGGTAGAGTACATCCACTGCAATCATTCACGCTATGCTCCGTTTCACTTTAAAGGGCAACTCCGCTTCTTTTCCAGTAGTGCAAAACTATACAGTTCTCTTTGTTATCATCTACAAAACCCCCATGGCAAATATTACGACGGAATTCCGCCTAGAAGTTCATTAAAATCGCTGTCAAAGTTTGACAAGCACGAATCCGCTGGTTTTGGATGAGACGTGCGGGCCAGACAACACTGCCCGGATGCATTTCCGCTTCCTCCAAATTCCTTCTCCCGGCAAGTCCGCGACGTCATCAAGCATGTACAGCTTTTTTTTTTTCAATTTTGTTTTCTTTTTCGGGGAGAGCACGGGTGGCACCAGCGCCGTGCTCTCCCCGGAGAGGGAAGCTGCTTTTGTAAGAATTTTGAGTGACAGGTTAATCCTCTATAATCTTCTGGGGGGAAAATAGCGACGCCTGTGCTAATCCAGGAGGCACAAAAGAGGATCCTGATAAGAGTGGAGCTCCTTCTTCCCTTTGTATATCACGTGGGTGTACATGCTTAGTGATGCCGAATATACAATGTTGTCCGGCTTTGCCAGCGTTTCGGTTTCGGTTTGTGATCATGGCTAGAGTAAAATTACGCGAAAAATATTTTATTTTTCGCGAAACAAAGGATTGGGGATTGTTTTTGAGTGCTTCAAAAAGCAAAATCGGCCACTATCTCAAAATTTTTGAAATTAAGCGGAGTTGCCCTTTAAAACCCCACCCTTGGTTAGTGTGATTCTGAACCAATAGATAGATGGCGGCGGGTTCGCCTTCCAGGCATCAATGCGAGAAATCGTGTGTGCTGGCGCTCCGATACTGTGTGGTATTTTTCTATATCCTGAATATAGACGCTTTACACACGCGCCAAATTACAGCCGCCATTTCTGACCTTCTCTTGTCTTACCGAGATGCCGAGCAACTGAAACGGTAGTTGACGATCCTCTACAAAGGCCGCTGCTTTAGAAAAAGACCCAGTTGAATCTAATATGGCAATAACCTGGCCTGCTGTGGTAATGATGAAGTGAAATAAACGAAATAAGAGTGAACAAAGACTGAAGGTCAGTTATGGCGGCGTCCATGCACAGCTGCTGCAAAGCGTCTATAACATCCCTGGTTCTTCGCTTGTTCTTCTCTGCACGAGCTTTCTTTGGAATGCGCACGGCTGCGCCAGTTCTCGTGCAGAGGAGCCAGTTCCCTCCGCTCCGAGTTCGCGTCTCCAGCAAATGTGGGCAGAACAAAACGCGAAAAGCGTCCTATACTTCGTTTCACCTTATCTGCGAGCGAAGCCAAAGCTAAAAGCGCGAGACCAGCGCTTTTTGCGTTTCTCCCCAGCTCGCGCGCTCGAGCAAAGCCTGAACGCACGGAGCTTTCGTGCTCGCGCTTCCAGCTTTGCCTTCGCTCGCACACAAGCTGAAACGAAGTATAGGCCAAATGGCGAGACATATGCACAATAAAACAACCGTCGTTTTGAAATATATAAAATTGCCTGTGCACCGTTAGCACCCCGCGGAGATTTCGGAGGCCAATTACACATATTTATAGGTGATCAGATCGATATGACGGGCCGGCCCTTTTGTCGTGCATGTGTATGGCTCTTTGTGGATTTTCAGGAAAACGTGAGGAATTGATAGACTCGCGTTTCAAGATTCTAGCTTGGAGAATTACCTCAAAAATCAAAACAAATGAACTATTTTTTGGGCGGTCAGGTGTCCCATTTAGGTAGCAGGGGGTTTATTTTGACCCAAACCACGAGATTGGAAAACACAAAAAAATGACACTCTGGTTTAGGTTCTTGAGTTTGGTAAGCCCAAAGTAGGACAGCTCCGGGAGTCACAATAAAAAAAAAAAAAGCCAGGGTTAAACATTAACTCGCAGCAATAAATGACAAGAATTAATTTTAACACGAGTTCAGTGATAAATGCAATGCCTGGGCAAAGATTATGAATATGGAGATAGCTTTTGCACAGAGTTTAAGCAATCTACCAGTCTTAATTTTGCTGATTTATGCGCGCAAGTAGTGGTATGAAAAAATGAACAAAATATGCAAACGAGTAGAGTTTGACTTTGTATAAAATATAGTGTAAGCACGCACATGATACACTGATGAAGACTCAAACAGCGCTACATTTTACATTAGCGTTTAGCGTATCGAAAGTTAAGGCTGCACCGAAAGCTAAAGCTTGCACACATATACTGCTCAGGCCGTTATGTTTGAATGTTCATAGTACTTTATTACCCTTAGATTTGGTGTAGGTTGTCTTCTGATTACTTACAACAGAAAGAAGGAAACATTCTAACTCTGGGTTGGTAGAAAAACTCCACCTTCGGACAGCTACGAATCATCTCGGCGCCGATTATAAGTATTCACAGCATGCCAACGGTCGCGTGCTTAGAACGAGCTTTTCCCACGTAATTTCGTAGAATCGCAATTGTTCTTGACAGGCAACATCGTTACAGTGTTTACTCACGCAAGCGGCCTCTTGTGAAGCTTAGAATATTTTGTATTGATTGAGGCACACGTGGCAAGTTGCATAGGTTTCTTTTTCTTAACCCGCGAGGCAGAATGCACCTGGGTTACCTTGGTCTCTAATGCATGTAGCACACAAAAGAGCACGAGCTGGATCGTTTTGTCAAACAAAAACAATAATGATTAACAAGTGTGTAATCCCGTGAAAACTGAGGGCATTGCACATATGCAGAAGGTAAGTTTTGTTTCACTAAATACATTACCAGTAAAGTATTTGGTTTTATCGTGCGAGCGAAGCGGAACATACAAGCGCGAGCATGCTGCCCTGAACTACTCTTCCAGTAAACAAGTGCACCGTTCAAAGCATGAAGCTCGGTTTTATAGCTTTTAGTGCGCTCAAACCTTTTAATACACAATTATAATCAATTCTATTATTTCATTCCTTTTTATTATGTCCGCCTATGTCTTTTTTTTTGTTTTTCTTTTGCGTTTACGTGCCATTTTTTTAGTCATATAATATTTTTACACAAGTCCGACAACTATATTCTGTTTCACCATATAAGTAAGGGCCTCATAATAAAAAATGTAGACAAAAAAATGAAAGACGTTTACAACTCCCTATAATACCGAATTAGAGCGCAGCTCTTAAGAAGGAGGAGGGAAGGGTACGGAGGGGAGGGTATGCCTCACCTCCTCCCTCCTCATCTACTCCTCCCCTCCTCCCCCTCTTCTCCTCGTCCTTCTCCTCCCTCCTTTACGTTCCCTCCTTTACTGTTTCCCAGGAAAATGACCCAATAAAGGAGGAATGGTTATTCCTTTACTGGGCCATTTTTTCCGGGTCATTTTTTCCTGAACCCATTAGGTTATGCCCACCGGCAGTGTTAGCTTAAGTTGAACTACAACTATAGCCCTAAATGAAGGGGAAAAAAACGTCACTTTTGCATAGGAAATGATCACTGTCAGAGGGAGCTATAATGCAGAAGCGACAAGCGAACATAGCAGGTCGTATTTGCGCTCTGATAACGTTATCGCACACTGCTTAAGCACCCTTATACATGCAAGTAGCGAGTCAGAATAAATCGTGTTTGAATACAAATAATGGTACCATATACTTTGCCGGCGTCCATCCATGGTATCGTTATCGGGCGTCGTTTTCAGAGCCAGACTGCTGGATCTAGCTACTCGAGACTTTTAATAGATCGTTCCGATGACTCTGATAACGGTAAACAATACTCCGCCGCCACCTTTGCACGTGCATTGTATTGTTATCGGGGGTACCGGAACGATTGACTAAAACTTTCCATTATGAGAACCGAAACGAATAGATGAGTAAAGTAGATGAGAATATATTCCATAAGAGAATAGGGAGTTTTCGTAGACGGCGTTTCGCTCTCCGCTAAGCCCTTCGCAACAAGGAGGTTGCTACTGCGCCTGCGCGCCGATTGCCCTGACTGTAGAGATCCGGGTACCGTAGCGAGTTCCAGAGGCCGCTGCCGGACAGCTGAAACTAAGCCAAAACGATCTACGAAAACTCCCTAGAGTTTCCGAACAAACGCGCCGGTCCACAGGGGGCAGTGAGCGTTGCTCAAGTGCAAGAACCCGCTTTCAGATGAGTGGCGCGTCTGCACACGACGGCTCACGTTACCGCCTTGGCGTGACGTCGCACACAGGATATGACGTCAGAAACAGGAATGGGAGGAGACGGGAGATAGAAAGCGATGTCTTCTGCTTGTTGCAAGCAGACGGCAGCATAAAACATTCAAGCCGTACCAAACCAAGACGGGATTAACATTCTCGAGGCAGCAAGCAATCAGTGACGTGTGGCTTAAGGTAATCCTTTCCGTTAGGCCTCTGCAAAACAACAATTACAAATACAAATATTATCAAGAAAAGAAGGCATGGTGTATAGGTGGAAGCGCCCAATCTTGCGACTGCGGCTGTTTCAGGAAGTAAGCAGTCCCGCCCATCGCATTGAGGAGAGGACACACCGCTGAACCAGGTGTCCTCGAGCGAGGACTAGCGGCGCCCAAGGATGACCGCCACGTGGTCAAGCCATCACTGGGTGAGCCTCATCAGCGTGACTCTGTAATATGGGGGGTTTGAAGTGGACGGGTGGCGATCGCCATTTTCTCCAAGCGGCCAAGAGCCGTCCCGCGCTCAGCCTCACCTGTTCCTGTCACCATGGTACTATACGGAATGCAAGTCGCCTGCTCTTTGTGCAGGAGTTGCGGTGTCGTTAGAACGACGCCGAGCTCTTATTGGGTTTGAGCGAAAGGATAGTGGATAGACCTCAACACTAGGTGCCTTAAGGTCTACCCACTATTTGCTTTTCCAATCAGCCAATAAGAGATCGCCGTTCTGACACCATCGCAACCCATGTGGAAGAAGCAGACGAACTTACGCTCCGCATACTTTGTTTCGGCTGAAGTCCAGACGCAGCCGATGCTACAAGAGCGAGCTCTGGGCTTTCAGTGTCCCTGCCAAGCACGCGGGCTCGTGTAGCGCAAGCACTGTTCAGGGCCACATGCTCGCGCTTGTAGCATCAGTTGCGACTGGACTTAAAGGCCGACGTACACTTAGGGCTTTCCACTTTCGTCCGCCTCCTCCTTTCCTATATCCTCTCCACTTCTTACCTTGCCCCAAGCAGGTGTTGCCCCAAGTTGGCTCCCCTCGCAGCTTAGGAGAGGGGAGTGCTAAGAGGATAATACCCCTTGCAGAAAACTGAGATGTCCGTCGGCCTTTAAGCTGAAATGACGTATACAACCAGTGCCGCAACGGCAAAGACCGGTTTATTGTTTGAATTTTGAGTTCTAAACAAAATGAAGCAAATACAAATATATATAAAAAAGAATATAAGAGGTCGTGTCCTCATTTACCGTCGAACAATATCTCAACAAAGTGAGATAAAATGATCAATCCGCATAATTTTGTGTGCATTTTCTTCTCTTCAGCAGTTAAGGGCGAGGGGGCGCTACTTCGAGGCCACCGATTATGCTGCGCATTATGAACACCTTCATCCATGCGATTGTCACACTTCCCCCCTCTAGCCCACCATACCTCTACTCTATATTGTTGGCCTCGAGATTATTAATGAGCACTTAATGAGCACATATTTTGTTGGTAGAGGCATTTTTTCTGAATAATGTTTCTAAAGGCCGAAGAATAGAGCGTGGTTGCTTCATTTCGATGGTCGTGCCATGTGGATTTTAAGGAAGTTTCCATCGAAGATTAAAAACAATTCTGAGACTCTTTTGAACATGTTACGTTTTGCTGGGACTCAATAAACTATGCATTTTTTTTTTCAGAATATGGGGATTAAATTACAACATTTTGAACTTGCAGACAACCACTAAAACCGCGACTTTTGATAAAAATCTGAGAGAGAAATAGAAAGAGAATAAATAGAAATGAAATAGATATAGAAAAATAGCATACGGCATATCAGTCGAGCATGAAACAGGAGCGACTAAGCAGCAAAAAAATTGCACCATCTTCCCGAGGGGAACCATGGGGTGATGCGGAGCATCGTTCCATCACACGTCATCGGAAGAACGGAGTGAAGTGGAGTCAACAGCGGCGAACTGAACGCGCGCAGAATTTGGTTTGCTCTTTATGTTTATACAGCCTTGATGGAGATGCGCCTCAACGGGTAATCGGTCTCTTAGCTGTAGATGAGAAATTTAGCCAGTGCAGTACAACCGCTAACCACGTGCATCACGCAGTAGTGATCACACGAACGCGTGCCGGTACGAAACTCATCCAGATCGAAACGGGCGGGGGCGGCGGGGACTCGTACCCAAGAGGTTCCCAGCGCAAGATTTCGCTCCACGCTTCGAGCTGAGACGCGTTAGCCCACTCGGCCACTTCTTCTTCTTGAACGCGCGCAGCGCGCTACCGCTGCTTATATTTACACTTGAAGGAGAGGAGACTAGAGGAGGAGAGTTGCGAATGCGCGCGCGGTGTGAGTAGAAGCGAACGCACGCGAAGTGCACGCAGCTGGTAGAGAGAGAGAGAGCGGAGAGAGTAACGCGCAGCGGTTGGAAAGAGGGAAAGAGGAGAGTTGCGCATGCGTAGTGTGAGTGCGGACTACGACGCCGCGGGACATAGACCCGAGCAAGAGAGAGAGCGGAGATAGTAACGCGCAGCGGTTGGAAAGAGGGAAAGAGGAGAGTTGCGCATGCGTAGTGTGAGAGCGGACTACGACGCCGCGGGACATAGACCCGAGCATCTAAAAACGAATAATTCGTCGGAGCATATGTCTACAATGCTGCATAAATTTTCGTAGAACTATGTGTGGGCGGCACAAGAAATGAGAGGGGAGTTAACGCTTCACCGAGTCGCGCTTCAGGGTCGCGTGAACCGCCCGTGCCGCAGAGGATGCGAGCTCGGCAACTCGGCCGTTGTTCAGAGCGATGAGCGACGATACTGGAATCACGGCTCCGGGCCGGTGTCTATCGCCGTTTCACTTAGACAGGAGGGCGTCACGCTGGAGGGACCAAACGAGCAAGCCAGCAGATGAGGAATTGCTGCAGAAACCACTATTGTTGGTTGCCTATGAATTGCGATAGTGACTGGGACAACCTCAAGGACGACGTCGAGGACGACCTCTAGGGCGATATTAAGGACGACCTCTAGGACAACGTCCAACACAAAGTCGTCCTCTAGAGAAAACTTTCTAGACGACGACGTCGAGGGCGACGCCTAGGACGGCCTCTAGGACGACGTTCAGGATGACGTCAAGGTCGTCGGGTCCTTTAAAGAGGGTGCGAATGTGAAGGAGTGAAGCGCCGTTCACACATCTGCAACTGAGTGAGACGGAGAGAGACAAGACTGATGTTTAAGTCTCTTACGACGTCTTAGAACCAACTCCGCAGCAGCGCACCCAGTCCTAAAGGCTCATTCACACACTTGTAACCCAGAACGACCGAGGGAGGCAAAACCGGTTTTCAAGCCTCTTGCGACGCGACGTCTTAAGGCTCGTTCACACTCCTGCAACCGAGTAAGACCAAGAGAGAGACAGAACCGGTTTTTAAGCCTCTTGCGACGTCTTAGGACCAGGTGCGCTGCTGCGGAGCTGGTCCTAAGTCGTCATAAGTGGCTTAAAACCGGTCTTGTCCCTCTCGGTCGTTCTCGGTTACATATGTGTGAACGAGCCTTGAGAGTTTGAGCTACAATTGTCTACTGCGCATACCTACTGCGCGTCAGGAGGCAAGAAAGTCAAAGAAATCCGGGGGAGGGGGAAGGGGGTGGCTAAAGAACGCTACATAGTTCGTCTCAGCTTAGCATGGACTAACTACGAAGGCTGTGCAAGCACGAGCGGGTAGTCTTGACGACCTTGACTGGAGCAGTCGCTGGACGACCGCTCGTGCAGCCGCCGAGGCTTCATCCAAAGCGAATAGCTCGCGCTCTTATCATGCGCGGTTAACAATAGTCCATGCTAAGGTGAGACAAGGTATAGTATTAAAAGGACGCGGGTGCGAACTACGCGGTTCTCGGCAGCCGACACGGCGCAGTCAGGGAGTGCGGCGATGCAAATCGGTCGGCGCTCCGGTGTTACCTCTGTGACGTCACTTCCGTGAACAAGTTCTGCGACATCGATTTCCCAACTTTGCAGCCCCTTCCAAGCGCAGAGAAAGACGTAGTTCTAAGTGAAAAAAGAAACGTCCTATGTCGCATTTAGCACGATTGGTACATTTTACCGTCAATCTATACTTTGTTAAACTTAAGGAATATTTTGTTCCTAACCCAAATTATTTGATAGGTAATTTTAATGCCCTTTATAAATTTTTTTTTTGCGCATGCCATGCATTATGCATGTCGTCGACGATGGATGTTGTATGATGACGCAAACTGGAGGGGCACTGGTACTGGCGACGTCCGAAGGTAGGGGGCGCAGGCAAAGTTTTTCACCATTCGTGAAATATGAATTAAAACAATAATTTATTTATCAGAGAGATCTAAGACTATTGAGCATCCGTTAAACACCTCCAACACTCCGTTCATTTTTATTATTCAAGAAAAATTGCCGATTGTTTTTCACTATCCAAGCCGGAGACATCGAATTTCTAACAGAAAATTAGAAAGACCCATTATTTGGAGCGTGAACACAGTAGGAGGGCAGTGAATTCCAGTCTGGTCGGCCGCTACCATCTTTCCGCTACCGTCTTTCTATTAGAGTACAGCTGTGACTCTTTCGTATGCTAGATAATACTCCAAGTGGGCCTTTAAGTTTGAGACGTACTAAGAAAAACTATTGTCCTCACAGCCGAGACGCAGCTGCCTCTTGGTCTTGGTCGTCCTCGGCCTTGCCCAGACCCTCCATGCGGAAGACCGGCAGGAGACAAGTGCGGACGCCAGAGGAACCAAGCGCGACTACTGCGTCGTCGGAGCGGGGCCTTCAGGGCTGCAGATGGCCTACTTCCTCCAGCAAGCCAAGAGGGACTACGTGGTCTTTGAAAGGAGCAACATCAGCGGTGATTATACACAAGACTCGCGTTCTTTGCGAAGAGTGGTACACCATAACCAGAGCCGAATTTATAAGCATGAGTATGCGCTTTGGAAAGTGACAGGCTCTACGAGAATGAAGGTACTGATCTCCCGAAAACAAGCTTTACTTTCGAGAGATCAGTACGCCCTAACCCTAGGAGTGGAGTAGGCCGCAAGACAACTTTATGGAGGGTAGTGACCCTTAACCGTAACTTATGAAGAGCAGCAGCGATAAGATATTTATTTACAGTAATAGCCAACTCCCTATTTTACGTAGAGTACTAGGCCATGAGCTCACCGAGAGCAGTATAGCATCATATCATACTTCATGGAAAGTAGTGGGAAATAAGCCTAGCTTCTGAAGAACAGCAGATCTCAGGCCTACTTTGCAGAGAATAGCAGGCAACCCCTATCGAATTCGCTGGTGCAGGGCATTTCTTCAGCGTCTACCCGAAACACCGCACGCTGATCAGCATCAACAAGCGAAACACGGGTCAGCAGAACCCGGATTTCAACTTGAGGTTCGACTGGAACTCACTCTTGAGCCACGACCCGTCGCTGCTGTTCAAACACTTCTCACGTGACTACTTCCCTAAGGTAAGGATATTACGTTCAACAAGTAAATTCGCGTGCCTCTTACAGAATACGGAAAATACGGGTCGAGATTTACATCATCAGGTGACGCAAGCTTCCACCTGATACAAAGGGCATAGCCAATGTCATACATCTATAGACTAGACGAGAGAAATGGAGGTGTGCTGTTCAGCTCTGACCTTCAGCCGTGTAAGCATGTGTTAAGTTAGGTCTTCGCCATCTTTGCAAATCGCTGATTTGTGTGCAGTCAACTCAGGTGAGTCTTTCACGTTACAAAAAGCCAGGCTGCCAGGCTCTTTAAATCGACCGCAAGAATCGGTTCAATGGTTTGAAGACCGGTGGCTTCGCTGCGTTTCCATAGGAGTTAAAGACTTTTTCTTTTTTTACTTTTTCCTTAGGTAAGTTCGGTCTTTGCAAATTTTATGGAAAAACTGCACCACCTGTGGGCAACGCTGTACAAAATCAGAACGCGATAAGTTAAAAAACCGATTTTTGCGGTCGATTTAAAAAGTCTGGCCGCTCTTTGGGACACGCAGTATATGCTACATAAGAAATGAAAGACGTTTACAATGCGAAATTAGAGCGCAGCTCTTGAGGAGGAGGAGGGGAGGTATGCCTATCCCCCCCTTCCCCCCCTCCGTACCCCACTCCTCTCCTCTCCTCCTGGCCTCCAATTTAGCGGGAAATTTTCGCTAAATTTTCTGCTACATTTAGCGAAACTTTAACCGCTAAATTTAGCGGTGAAATGTGGGAAAAATGCCCCAGATAAAATTAGCAGAAAAATGTTCCCGCTAAATTTAGCAGGACATTTTGCGAAACGTTTTCTGCTCTATTTAGCAGGAAATCTAGCGAAAATTTCCCTGCTAAATTTAGCGGGTTATGTTTCCCCGCTAAACTTAGCGGGGAAACTGTGATGTCTCATAATGCAACGCGCGCGGTTACGCCGCCGATGCCGCCGCCGCCAACGCTCACCCGGAAGCGGGCGCCTAAGAGCTGCGCTCTAAAAATAGTAATGTATTGGAATCTCAATGGCCTCTATGCATGCAGTTTTATGTTTAAATGGGGGTGCAACGATATTAAGATTAAAAGAATTTGCATCTCGTCATCTTTACGCTGCTATATCGTGTCCCGGAGGATAGAGAGAACGCCTCCTTCATTAAAAAAGGCGCGATTCCGCTGCATAATGGCAAAGCAAAAGTCGAGCTTTTTTCCCCACCTGCAGCCGCGAGTGCAGCATAACGCCCGCTAATCTCAGAGGGAGAGTAAACGTCCTCCGAGAGAGAACACGGGAACCTACACAGCACCCCGAATTACGTGACTAGGAGTGCGACCAGGTGGGACCCAGAAGGCTGGGAGTGAGTTGAGGGGTGCCAAAAATGCCAATATTACCTTTTTTTTTTCACACAACAGCCAGGACACGCAGGCGAAATCGGTTTTCTGTTCTTTACTTCTGAAGTGTCCGAGGGCAACTTCCACAAATTTTTTACCGAAGTCAGGAAATCGTCGCACCCCCCCCCCCCCCCCCCCCCCTTCCCCGCTTTTAATATATTTGGTAATTTCCCTTTTTCGAATTGTCTGCAATGTTGCCATACTCAGCATTAGCTTTTTAGCAACTGTTGCAATTAAAAGATGCGATAGCCATCCTATAATAGTGCCACTTGTCTTGGGTTCAAGTCTGAAGACCTTCATTCCGTCAGCACGACCTGTTGACATGATCAACATTTTGGTGTGAAAAACGCAGCACTTTGTGAAATCACACTGCTCTTTATGAAACACGCGATACTTGTTTCTGTTACAAGTGTACCTAAATTATACATTTAGTTTCCTTGTCCACTTTCTTCACATTCCAGGCAGACGCCATGGTGAAGTACCTCGACACCTTCAGAAGGAAAATGAATCTTCAGGTCCAGTTCGACACCGAAGTACGAAACGTTCAGAAGCTCGCCGACGAAGGTCACAACGGTTACAAGTTCTCGCTAGAGGACCAGAGGGGCAACGCTTACTTCTGCAAGTACGTTCTGGCTGGTTTATACGTAAACACAATAAGAGCGGACTGTTTGTGCCTGTGGTATTCGACTGTTGGACCTCAAGACGTGTACACACTCTACCTTCCAGGTGGTTCCTCTTCTGAGCAAGTAGTAAAAAAAAAAAACCAACATGGCCCAATATCATCACCTTGAAAGAATGCCATAGTTGAAGACCCTGCTCACCCCGAAATGTATGACAAATTGCTAGACAATTGTGTTGCATACGTGAAACATTCTAGCAATCCAACCTTTTAGCGAACATATAAATGACGAACATAAGAAGGACACCCCGACAGGAATCGAACCCGTGACCAAGTGGTTTTTAGTCGGTGCTAAAAGTCGCAGGCGGTCGGAGAGCAACTACGGAAAGAGCAGGCGCGTGAGAAACAGCTGCGCGGAGTGAAGCTATGCGAGAGAGCAAGTGTTACGTCATATCCCATGTAAAATTTACACACGCTTCATCGTGCTACAAGGGCCGGGAACCACGGAATATGTGGAGTGGAAACCACACACGTCCTGTATGGTTCGCGAGTGGAGCTGGTGTCAACAGAGCGAATCTATCGAAAATCATCATGTGTCGTTTGATCTCATTACATACTGTGTTCCCTTCTCTCCGTCAACAGAATCAAGCTTGTGTAATTTTTTTGTTCGTTCTATGAAATGAATTGCGCGTGAATATGACGGCCCAATGTTTTCCAGGATCCTCCTCGTTGCCAACGGTGTGTCTAAGCCGAACGTGCCCGACATGCCCGGCATAGAGATGGTCACAGGCTACGAAGACGTGTCCACGAACCTGGACGACTTTGAGGCCAAGACGGTCATGATACTGGGCAGGGGAAACGCGGCCTTCGAAACGGCCAACTTCATCTTCCCGGCGGCCAACTACGTCCACATGGTGGGAGCCTCACCGCCCAGGTTCGCCTGGAGTACGCACTACGTTGGAGACCTCAGGTAAACTCATTAGGAACTTTAAAAAAATACGTATTTTGAATGCCCTTTGGATCCTCCGCTAAGTTCCTCCTCACTCACGTTTTGTCTCCAGAGCTGTCAACAACGACATCCTCGACAACTACCAGCTCAAATCACTCGATGGGCTATTGGATGCGGACTTTACAAGGCTGGGCTTCATCAGGATGAAAAGCGGGAAATTGGCCCTAACCATGAGGCAGGACACCAACGAGCGCTACAATTATGACAAGAACTACGACTACAGCTACAACTACAACTACAACAAGCGGAGGCAATCGATGGGAGGAAAGTCTTACAACTACAATCACAATGACGAAACTGAGAGGACCACGGACCCAAAGAAAGTCAGCAGGTGCTTCAGTTACAACTACAACAGTCGGGACAACCCTAAATCCTACAACTATAACTACAACAATCCGGAAGATGCTAAATCCTACAACTATAACTATAACCACCCCGATGAGCCCAAATCGTACAACTACAACTATAACATTCCAGAAAACAAAAATTCTTGCAGCGACAAGGGCCGAGATAAGACTATGTGCTTCAGCTACAACTATTCAACCGAGGCCATGTCTGACGGCAACGGCAACTGGGACAAAACCAAGTCTTCTAACTACAACTACAACTACCCAGATAACACGAAGTCGTACAACTACAACTACAACAACCCTGACAAAATGAAGTCCTACAACTACAACAACCCGGACAAAACCAAGTCCTACAATTACAACTACAATAACCCGGACGAAACAAAATCCTACAACTATGAGAACCCGGACAAGACGAAGTCCTACAACTACAACTACAACAACCCAGACAAAACCAAGTCCTACAACTACAATAATCCGGACGAAACCGAATCGTACAACTACAACTACAAGGACCCAGACAAGACGAAGGCCTACAACTACAACTACAACAACCCAGACAAAACCAAGTCCTACAACTACAACTACAATAACCCGGACGAAACCAAATCGTACAACTACAACTACAAGAACCCAGACAAGACGAAGTCCTACAACTACAACTACAACAACCCAGACAAGACGAAGTCCTACAACTACAACTACAACAACCCAGACAAAACCAAGTCCTACAACTACAACTACAATAACCCGGACGAAACCAAATCGTACAACTACAACTACAATAACCCGGACAAGACGAAGTCCTACAACTACAACTACAACAACCCAGACAAGACGAAGTCTTACAACTACAACTACAACAATCCAGAAAAAACCAAGTCCTACAACTACAACTACAATAACCCGGACGAAACAAAATCCTACCACTGCAACAACCCAGACAAGACGAAGTCCTACAACTACAACTACAACAATCCAGACAAAACCAAGTCCTACAACTACAACTACAATAACCCGGACGAAACAAAACCCTACAACTACAACAACCCAGACAAGACGAAGTCCTACAACTACAACTACAACAAACCAGACAAAACCAAGTCCTATAACTACAACTACAATAACCCGGACGAAACCAAATCCTACAACTACAACTACAAGAACCCAGACAAGACGAAGTCCTACAACTACAACTACAACAACCCAGACAAGACGAAGTCCTACAACTACAACTACAACTATCCGGACAAAACCAAGTCCTACAACTACAACTACAATAACCCGGACGAAACCAAATCCTACAACTACAACTACAACAACCCAGACAAGAAGTCCTACAACTACAACTACAACAATCCAGACAAAACCAAGTCCTACAACTACAACTACAATAACCCGGACGAAACCAAATCGAACAACTACAACTATAACTACAACAATCCCGACGAAACCAAGTCCTACAACTACAACTACAACGACGGCGGTCAAAAGAACGAAACAAGCGATAGTAGCACTAACGAAGACGGGGAGCACAGGGAGGAGTACGACGCAATAATACGGTGCCTGGGCTTTGGCTACGACGACTCGATGTTTAGTCCGTAAGTTGCCTCCTGACTTTTTGTAGTATATGTTATCCGCGTGAGTGTATCGCAGGAATTAAGAAAGAATTGTAGTGTATTGCTGATCGCATTGAAGATGTTAAAGGGGTCTTGTTAAGCAACCAAAGCCAAGGTACAGAATCATCTTCAACTTCTACATTGTCTAATATTTAAATACGAGCGTCCGGCCAGGCAATGGCCAGTAAGATCACCACCTGCCTGTTGGAACCTGTCGACGGTACCTGTTCCGACGTGTACTGATTTAAACAGATAAAACTCCAGGGCACTAATATTGAGCCCTTCAGTACAGCGCGTGTCACTTATTTCGCAATCCTCACCCTGGACGTGTGTTGTTGTTGCATGAGTGTACTTATGTCACCTTTGACCCATTGTTATGCGAAAACAAAGACAAGCAAAGAGCCGCATGCTGCCTGAGATGCGCGAAACGTTACACGGGTGATTTAACTGCGAAGAGGATCGCCTGAGGGGGGGGGGGGGGGGGGGGGGGGGAGGAGGAGAGAGAGAGAGTCTTGAAACGCAGGAAGGTAGTCGTAAATCTTGCGAAAACTTAACATTATTTTACTATCTTTTATAGTAAGGGAATGTTCAGTACGTTCTTGAGGGCTGATAGATTAATGGACCAATCGTATTCCTTTAAATAAACCTAGCAGTGCGACTTCAGACTGCCTCGAGATGGTTTGATAAGCAACTTTGGTGAGGGCTGTAAATGGACGCAGCATATTCCAATTAGGGTCGAATGTACGTACTTCTCATATGACATCTTACGCATGATTCGGAGGGCAATTTTAGGTTATGTCTTATCTAGCCGAGGCAACGAGACGTCTCAGCAGAGATAAGTTCGATATTAGCGTTCCAGGTAAGATCGTTTGTTAGGGTCCCACCGAGGTATTTCTAATTTGTACAAGAACTGCGATACTTGTCGTTTCCGTGAGAACTGAACTAACTCACATTTTGATATACTTAATGACATTAACCCCCTAGTACACCATGCCTGAATCTTTCCTAGGTCACTTTGGAGTTGTAGATGGTCTTGCAACGAAACTATTTTACGGTGTAACGCGCAGTCGTCAGCGAAGAGGCGGATATTTGAGGAAAGTTTGTCTGGGAGGTCATTAATGGAAACATGTATAAAGTAGGGGACCACGAACTGACCCTTGGGGACTCCAGAGGTAACCTCTGCGTGGGTGGGTGAGACATGAAAATTTAGCAAGCGGGATCTTGAGATATGAAAGTTTAGCAAGCAGGCGACAGTGGGGAACGCTGTCGAAGGCCTTCGAAAAGAAATCTGCACCGTACATCCCACGAACAGTTGTGACAAACCATGCGGATTACCCTCCTTCCTCGTTGTCGCATACTGTCACCATGATACTTAACCGCACCACGAAAGAAAAATCCGATTTTCAGGAGCACACACTTTTTTGCTTCATTTATCGCCACAGCTCGACCATGCCACGTCGATGGGAAGGCCCCAAAAAGAGGTATCCGCTGATCAATGCCGACTACGAGTCAGCCAACGTGCCCGGAATGTACTTCGTCGGTTCCACCGTCCACTCACTTGACTACAGAGAGGCCAGTGGAGGCTTCATCCACGGCTTCCGATATACAAGTAAGTCCCTTAGTTTTATTTTTGTAAGCATGAAATGCTTCTTTTTTTTTTTTAATGGAACCCCCATCCCAGACCTTTGTCTGTCCGTCCATGTATTTCCTCGCCAAATTTAGGGGATAGAGTCTTCCCTGTCTTCGACCAGTGTGTTTAGCGTCTTCCCATACTTCAAAAGTGGGTCCGAAGTGCCAACAAATGACGTAGAAGGAGCCGGCATGTCATGTTGTCGGATGTCGCGATTCTGGCGGCTGAGCGCCAAAGTCCCGGACAAAAGTACGAGCGAACGGGAGTGTCGCTGTCGTCGCGGAGTCCCAACTGCTCTATGCCGAAGCTCCCGCTGACTGTCAAGCTGGAGAGCGACCTGCAGCATAACAGGCGTTTGCCACGTACACCAGCGCTGCTGGGACACCGCCAGGATCGTGACCGGCGACAGCATGACACCTCTATGACGTCATCAGGCGAAAATCGAGGGACCGTTTTGTTGGACGGGGTAAACAGACCAGTCGGAGATGTGTTCAAGGCACCATAATATAGGTAACCGCAAAAGAGCCTGTATAACACAGCACACAGCGTCAGAGATAATTAGACCCTTAGTAGTTTTGAATTATATAAATCTTTCAATTAAAAAAAAGAACATAATGCTGTAAAAGCCCGGTCACACTGAGGCAACACGACGGCAACAGCGACACAACACGTTGTCCAACAGTCGGGCAACTTGTTGCTCGTTATCCGTGTTGTCCGACAAACCTGTCACACCGCGCGCCAACAGGAGCACAAGATGTAGGACAACTAAAGTGTTGCCTCGGTATGACATCTTTCGGCAACAAAAACAGCGGCAACTTATGTTGGACAACGTGTGCTGCCCTGATCGCTGACTGAGCGAATTTCGGGTCGGCAACATGACAACACAGACAGCTTCGATGGCAGAGCTAGTTCCCTAAATTGTCGAAATGGACACAGCTATGGTCGTGAACGTTCAGACTGGTGTTGAAATCAGAACTGCCGAGAGACCAGCTCATAATACAGCTAGTGAAATAAAATGGCATGCCTACTTATTCGCTGATAAATTATAATAAAAATATTATCAAAGATTTGAAAAATCGAAGAATTAAAACGGCCACTTTGATCACGATTGTTGATACTGGGAACTTAGAAACAGCCGCTACCAGACAAACCATTTGTTTAAAAAATACCCAGGGCGTTTCGAGGAACGAAGCGATCACATAGCAGGCGGTAGGCAAATAGACAGCGTTAAAACATATTTATTCCACCGATTGTTATTATGAAGGCCGATCGCGTCGGTGTCGCAGTTTTTAAGCACTGTCAGTTCAGCTCAACACGGCGCTACAAAAGACACTTTGGGGTACTGCAGGTGCTAACTGGATTTTACAGTAGAAATAGGAATTGCGTGAAAAAAAAAAAAGAAGAACCGGACAGAAACATTTCACACGGTGGGGTAATCCCGAACATATATTAGAGATCTTACTTTCCTCGGTTAGGGCTATCTACTTTGTCAGCGAATGAAGAACATTTTGAGAAATTAAAGGATGAAAAATACTTACCCTGTCAAGTATTCTAATCACAGTCACTGGTTCATGTCGTCCCGTGGTAATTTCCGGCACTTCGAACGCACTAGCACTTTGTGGGGTTCACATTTCTAGCGACTCCGCGCCGCGCACAAAGGATGGTAAACAATCAAGATGGCGGAGTATTCCCCGTGCTGTCCCCGCCGTCAGTGCGGTGTGACAGAGTGGTCGGACAACAAATCGGCCAACACGCTTGCGGGCGGCAGCAACATGTTGCCCGACTGTTGTTGCTACCGCGATGCGACAGGGCCGCCGGAAAAACGATTTCCTCGTGTTGCCGTGTAGAGTTGTCCAACCGCTGCCTCAGTGTGACAAGGCCTTAAGAAACTAAAACCCATTCAATTTGGTCTCGGGGCACATCTGAACGCTACATGCACCTCAAGTGTACTAAACGACGTCTAGTTTGGTAGTTGTCGATGATGCCGAGCCAGGTTCTGCTTTCGTATTGCTAACTCAAAGATGTAATACTCACAACTTACCGAAGGCCTAATTATCACTACGGTGACTGGAAAGCGTCCTCACTGGTGCGTTTACCGGTCCTCATCTGTGGTCCCTCTATATCCTCTTGATGACGTCATAGTTATGTTGCCTGCCACGATCCTCGCTGTGGTAGAACAGTGGCGATGCATAAAGCGGACAGCTGTTCTGCTGCAGCTCGCTCTACAGCTTGACAGTTCAAGAAATCTTGAGCAGTCAGGAAATGGGACGCCGCGATGACAGGAATGGGGACGCCGCGCTGAGGTAAAATCCTGTCGGGAACTGGTCTTTTTTACATCGTATTCCCTAGGGGAGCGCACATGAAGCAATAAAGATACATCCCAATACCGCCTATATTGACACTTTAATGGCACAAGAAGCTCTTCCTGACAAACGTGTTTGCCACCGGAACGCAGCTCGAGTTCTACACCGGCTTCTGGAGTTCAAGCACGAGGGCGTCCCGTGGCCCAGCACCCGTGGGCCCTTGGTAGATTTGGTAAGCGCCGTGATGAAAACAATCAACGAGGCATCGGGCATCTACCAAATGCATCACTTCCTTGCCGAAGTCTTCATCATTGACCGGTGAGCTTGCTGCCGCTCCTATCAGTCGCCGCGACCTCAACAGCTATTGGTGTCTTTAGTTGAGTGTCTTCCAGACTTTTCGACATGCGTCATGTCTTAGTAGAAATACCACGTTGATTACTGCAGTGATTGCGACATCAGTACTTTCACATGCTCTTGCTTTTTCTGCTTGATGTATTCAATCCCTTCACCGAAGCCGCCAGCAGTACGTGAAAAACGCTCTTACGTACTCAATCACCCATTAACACTACTACGCCAGAAGCATTTAGATCCTATGGTCTAGCCGTCTGTTGTCTTGTTCACTTTTTCCCAACGTATCAGCGTTTTGAAATAAGCCCGTTTCTGTCCTTTCTCACTGCAAAGAGTCAGAATAGAACGTCTGCCATTTTCAGACCGATGTACAGCGTCCAAAATATTCCCCTTCCGTTATGAATGCTCTAGATACTCTAAAGCCCACTAAAAAAAATTTGAGCATTACGATTAGCCTTGCATCAGCATTACCGCCAGCGCCTCTCGTAGCGATGTGGTATTTGTACGACCCACTTTTGGCCCGTATACGTGTTAGCTCCATCAAAAACTTGCCCCTTTTCCACGATTGCAGGAAGTCAATGGAGTTTCGCCACGTACCGGAATACCCACTGAGCCTGCTCAAGGAACTGGCCGCCAAGACAGGGCACGAGGGCACAGAGCTTATGGTCCTTGCCATGCGACTCAACCCGGACTTTTCGGGCCCCCGCCAGGACACCTTCCACGAGAATAGGGCGACGTCGGACGTCGACAAGGCTCATCTGTCCAACTTTCTGCACCCTATCATCTACTACTATGATGACATTAGCCAAGGTAAAGGATAGAAGAAAAAAATCAAGCGGTGAAGATTTAGGGATTGCCGTTATGGGGTTTCCGATAGTGTTGAACTTGGCAAAAATATTTTCAAGACATCTTTTATAGGTGATGCCATTAGATATACAGAGTATATACGATAAGAGGGAGTTCCGTGAAAGAGTATTACATGGAATGACACATAGACTGGTGATCCCATATTATGTGGATGGTAAAAGACACACGCAATAAGATGTAGAAACAGCTCAGTAGCCTGTCACGAAAACCAGGATCAGAGAAGCAAAGTTTATCGAACAGACACGAACGGAAACGCTCTGAAGTAATGCAAGGTTAAGAAGGTTCGAGGTTGATTTTGTAGATTAGGAATTATGTGGGGCCAACATATACAATTTGTATCAATTGAGAGTGATATAACGTCAGGCATAGGTTAGGGCCTTTACTTGTGTGTGTGTGTGTGTTTGTGTGTGTGTGAATATGGAAAAGAATAATCGTTTACAAAGCCCTCCTATTATGAAGCCACACACTTTCCGTAATCATCATTTAACCCGTCCTTGAGATTCAAACACTTGAAGACCCGGAATAGATATACTATAGCAGGTGCCACAACACTTAGAAAAAGTACCGTATTTTTTTGGGCTATTTTCAGCGGACTATGCGTGTTTCAAAAATTTAAATTTTACCCGATGCAGACTATCTCTGGGTGCGGACTATACAATATTTTTTTTTCTGTATCATTGACGATGACAATGCGTGAAGGAGTTTAACAATAACGGAGTATCTTAAGGTTAATTTAGGCACGACACAATCTTCTTTGTGAGCTAAAACAGCAGGTCAAGGTGTGATGTGTATGATAATTTTTACGTTCGGATTAAGCACTAAGTGCACACTATACACGGTGTTCGAATTGTGTACCGAGTTCGGACTGTAAGAGCAAAAACGTCTTTTCGATACCAAATTTATTCTTGCGAACTATGCACTGGGTGGGGACTATAATCAGGAAAATACTTACGGCATTTGTGCGTACGACGACGTTTCTAAGAACATCACACACCCTGCTTAGTATATTAAGTAAGACAACAGTTATTCCGCCAGAAATAGATTAACGCTCCTTCTTTGCAAGGAATAGCTATACAATCAGATCCGGTAACTTTAAACAATCACATTAGTAGATGAATTTCTCAACAGGGCGATCGAAACAAGAGTTAATGGACATTTTGCAAAGCGTGTAGCGCCGTCCGCAGCGTCCAAAAGAATGAGCGGTCCATACAGGCCCTGCTCGTAGACGACGAAGGTGACCTTTGAGGCGACAAGGGATGCACAGGCGAACGGGAGAGGACAGGCAAAGAACTGTGCGACCCTCTCTCCCTCTCTTCAATGTCCCATGGTAAATGTCGTGGAGTCAATGAGAAGCGTACAGGACATTGCCATAATGCATTGCGCCTGTCGCGTGCGGCCTTCTGGGATTCTTGAAAATGATCTACTCTGTTACATGGCTTGCATTGACGTAACATCAGCGGTGATTGTGGTGATCTTGCTGCTGGGCGCTTACCCATTGCAGCACACATTTCGGACCACCAAATCGTCTTTCCTTCGCAAGAACAAAGCGTGACCATCCGCATGGCGTAATGACCGTCACGCGCAAGCCATGTATACTTATGGTGTTTGGTTAGTGAACTCCCAGTACCACCTCGTCATGCTCAACATTCGTTTTCATTTTTCTGCATTTGCAGCTAAGGTGGACCCTACAAACGAACGGAACCTCGTTCTGCCTGAACCAACCAAGACCCATCACGTGGTAGAAGATTTCCTGATCCGCTGGACCTCGGAACACTTGCACATCGCGCCACTGAGACAATTCGTCCAGTCTTGCCTGGAAGTCGATCTGCAACGCTATAGGCCCGCGGACTGTCTCGAGAAGCTGATGCTCAAGAACGAATCTTCGCCGGCGCCCCTGAGCTGTCTCCAACTACCAGAGCACGTCAGGCCAGACGTGGTGGTGGGATACGGCGGTAGTTACGCCGCTTGACACGTGTAGCACAGTGATACCAGCTCTCATCAAGGACGATGACACCTGTAAAGCAAGTGTAAAAAAAATGATGATTCCAAGATTTATTTGATTTTTTTTCCAGTTATTACTTCAAATAATAATAAAGATGGCATGCAGGGGGATGTGAGAAAACAAATTTAGAAAAAAGAGACCAAGACTCGGCGCACCGGTCATCCGCTACAAGTTGCACGCCTACGCACTAGCACTGTTATCTGCCACTTAATTCTTCCCCCATGTAGCTCTGGGTTGGAACGGCCTTTCCCGCCATATCGCCTGCTCCTCTACCTTTATGAGACATGTAACCATTAACCTTCCACCTTGAAGACTTCTAACACCGATGTTCGAGTGCTCTGTAACCTCACCTCTTATGTAATGCTCCCCGATTCGGGGGGTCTTTAAAGTAATAAATTGACGGGAAGTGAAGACATTATGGAATGTATCTGTGTCTTTCAAGTATCAGCGTGAACTTCTGGTATATTGACTAAACTTAGGATATATCGTGGTCTCTAACATTGCCTGGACCGCGCTCTAGTCATTGATCGAACATGGAACCTACAGAAGAGACGGACGATCGGGATGACCAGGCGAAAGTTTACCAGACCGGGCACGATTAAGAAAGACTCTCTGGATGCTTTTGTCCGGTCAAATTTTGTGAGGTGAGCCTTTCTTGGAGGATTTGTTTTAAGATCTACTGTACCAGTTTTCGACATGTCCCTTGCTGTCGCTCGCCGCTGATCAGTGTTACAGACATGAGTAGCCATGGTTACTGTAAGTCACTCAACCATCTTGGCCTCTAGATCCTAGAGGCCTCCCCTCTTTCTAGGCCTCCATCGTGTCCTCGCACCTGGGAGCTGCAGCATATATTACGCTACGATGTCCATCCGATTCAGACGGCAGGGGTGGGGGATCAAATCGAGGATCCCTGCGTTGATAGGGTAAAAAACGTGCTTTAGTGAAACACGGGAAAATAAGCGAAACACCTTGTTGGGCGCAGTTTCTCAAAACGAAAAAATGTCATGAGTTGGTTTTCAAAATGCTATATATATATTCAGGCAAAGAGGTGCAGTCGCAGCTTTTATTTTACCTCAAATTTTTATATTTTGTTGCGCGCATGTTCCAAGAAGAACAATGCTTTTTATTTTAATGTCCTGACATGGTCATTTTCTGAGAAAAAAAATCTCAAAGAAGTGGGAAAGAACGGCGAGGTTTTGACGATCGTCTTGTGTAGTATTTTTTAATCACTCTCAATCTCAAAGCATTCAAAAGAGAGCGTCTATATTTTTTTAGTGTAATATATATATGCAAGTAGGTAAAACGACATTATAACTACTTGTTATTATTCGTCGCTCCAATGTGCGTAAAAATTCCCAAACATGCCTCCGCGAACAACTGTGTCCTAAACTGCGGACATAAACAAAACAAAAAATGCTAACACACACGAAATATATTAACCAAAAACCGAATTTTATACATATAGTGTCACGCATAAAAACATAAACTTGATTAATGAAACTTAAAATGAACGTTTAATACGGCGAGCTTGTGACGAGAACTAAAGTAGCAAAGGCTATACTTTGAGGGCGACGGAAGGACGACTGCCTCATGCAGCCATGCGAAGACCCCTTTTGTAACCGCGTGCGTATCTAGAAGTTGCCGAGCTCAAACAAAGAGTAAGATTCTCGAGTTATCTAGAACATTCCAGTCATGGGAAAAAAAAAAAGGCATATGAAAAGGACAAGCGCTGGCGGGGATCAAACCCCAGCCACGCTGCTGACTCAGCACGCGGCATTACTGCCCTCTTGAAACTTACGCATGGTCCCGATGCAACACAAAATGAAATTGACAACTCAAAACAAGAAAAGGGCCAACTACAGAATCACCTAAAACACTGACTTTCACAGTCCTATGAAGCATAGTTCAGTTCGAGCCGGACGACGTGAATCACCTTCGGGTCGCAGAAGGCGGCGTAACAATGTTCATGTTTCGTCGGGCACCGGCTTGCACTTTAGATCCCTCATGGAGCGAATAGCCTACCGAAGCAGCACTTTCAAAGTTCCTCGCTGCGACGATGAATTGGTGTTCAGATCTACACTTCGTAGCCGGCCTGGAACTGGGCGTCGTGGCGTCAAAGACTGTAGGCTGTCGTCAGCGAGTTGTGCGGCTTGAATCAAAATGGAACCGAGCTGGCGGGCTTTCTCCGCTCGTTGAGTGACGAGTCGAGCGTCGTCGTTCTGTTCGTCTTCGTGGTCAAAATGACACTCGTCGCCGGTATCGTTATCGGATTCGTCATCCAGGTTGTCGTCAAGGTTGTAGTCGGAGTTGTCGTTGAAGTCGTCGTCGTTGAGTCGCCGTCGAAGTCGTCGTAAAGGTTGCCAGGGTTGCAGTGATGTGATTGGTCCGAGTCATTTTGGAGCAGCAAAAATAACTTTTGTAGCATCATTCTTATTCATACCAATGCAGACATTGTGAAGATTAATGTGTCGGCGCGTCCAACTAAAAGGTTATGTCTACATTGCCTTCTCACTTGCGTGCAACCCTTAGTTCGCATCAATTGCACAGCAGGAGCGAGTCCCTCAAACACAAAATTAGCGTTTAGTTGCGTGGAGAAGCACCAGACACGGTGAGAAGGTGAGTGAAAAAGGACAGCACAAACTGCTCTGAATGGTTATTTTAGGTACTCAATCACACTGAAATAATGCAATAATATAGATCCCGTATATTAATGGTTCCTTCGAATTCTTAAGGTTGTAACAAAACAGCAATTTTTAATTCAGATAAAAAACAAAGCACTTGTCATTTAATTATGATCGTCAATTAAACTTTTTGTGTAGAACTTCACAACAAAAACTGCATGTGAACAAAACTTAAAAACAATCCCGCCGAACTCATTAAGGTTGTTCTAGAGCTTCCATTCACTGTTCCTGCCAACTTAGTTCTAACTTAAACACATTTATGTAAAAGGGATAGCTAAACAAATCAGTTGGCATAAATAAATAAATAAGCATACGAAAGAGCGCATATAAATGCTCTTGCACTAGCGAAGTATCCTCGCTAAATCTCGATATGGAAAAAAGGTAACGCTAGGATATCGTAGTCTATCATACATACGCGCCAAAGTTGTATTCACGAATTGTGTCGCGTCTCGCTCTGGAGGGGTTGTTTCCCCTTAGCACGGTGGTGCGCTGCGGCGAAGCAAGACACGCAAAATCGCAATGCTTACATTGCGGTTTTCGCTTCTCTGCAGTACACCAGTGCGCGAGGAGAAGCGCACTCGACCAGACTAACTACTCCTCCAGCAGAGCAGACGACGAACATGAGAATTATTGCGAAACTTCCGGAGTATTGTCAGCCTTTCATACGAAATGCGATCGAATAGTACTTTATTCGAGACGATAGTCAAAAGTTCTGAGAATTCGCATAAGCATATCGTAACGGCCCGGCCAAGCAGCGAGGCCTGAGCTATAATATTTTCAGTATCATCAAAGTGCAACGTTGCGCCAAAACTAAATTTGGCACAACGTTGTCGCAAATTTCTCACATTCTGGTAAAATGTAGCAGGATGTAGCAGGGTAAGCACTTTGGCGCAGTTTGGCGCAAATGGCGCACCATTCACATGACTGGGGTTGCCGTCGAAGTCGTAGTCGGGATCGTCGTCAATGTCGTCGTCCGAGTCGACGACTGTATCATCGTCAGGGTCGTCGTCAGTCTCGTCGTCAAGGTCAAAGACACTGTTTGTCGTCGAGGCCATAGTCGGGTTGGTTGTTGACGTCGTAGCCGGGGTGTATCTTTGGAGTCGTTGTCCGTTTCATCGTCGGCGTCGTTGTCGAAGTCGTGCTACGATAGGTTAAGGCCGGAGGCCTTCGCAAGCGTTCGCGTGGGACTCGTTTCCTATCATAGTCCCACGCGAAGGCTGACGCGGCACTCGCATTCAACCAGCGGCCGTCCAGGCCTCCGCTACGTGACGTCATATCACGTGACGCGCAGGCTTCTTTCCCAGGCGCAACGTTCATCTCTCCGTTAGAAATGCAGATACCATTGCCTTAGTGACAGAATTTATACGTATTCCACTGGACGCCAGCACGGGACAGCATGCACTAATGTCCGACCTCTGCACCGCACCGTATTAGCTTCTAGGCAACGTAAATCTAGAGCTCTGGCCTTGCTTGTTATCAAGGAGATTTTCTAGACCCGTTCGTTTCCCTCCCGATTAAATTTCACGCACACACAAAAGAAACAGGGCATCTACTATCGATACACAAACTAATCAAAAGGGGTCGACAGCATACAGTATCTGCGGTCGAACCACGTTAAGACAATTGCGGCTTGTGACTCAGAATTGAGCCTGGAGATAACGAAGAACGTCTGAGATGGGAAATTATGTAGTTCGTTGGTATCGGGTTCTCCCACCTATGATTCTCGTTCAAGCGAGTACGCGGTCGCGGGCGGTTAAAACAATATCTTCGAAAGATTCCACGCGACCGATTACGTAAATATATAAAGAATTGACGAACACGGCACGCGTCATTAGCTATAGAATACCCTGGATAGCGTCCGCCGCCAGAGACAGGTGAGTGTTTGGCGTTAAAACAGCTAGATACTACTTTGCTAGCAATCGAATATATTGTGAAATTTGACAGCTTTGAAACTGGGAAGCCATGCGAACAGTTAACTGTTCCAGTTAAGCGATCGACGACTTAGCCGATTCTTAAGATCAGCGATTTTTTACAAGAAATTTTGATTAAATTCAAATATCCCGTTTAACTCCACGCGGCACATTGCTCTACGTTTATTTAGTTTCACGAAGCAGCAGTATTTGAACGTATTCAATCGGTGTCGATTTGGCGGGTTTTTAGCGGCTAAAGTAACTACTTTATACTAGGACTTTACTATAAAGAAAAACGCGCCTAAATGTCATAACTGAATAGGGTGCGTAGTCTCTCAGTGCGTGGGGTGCTCTTAGTTCAGGTGGTGCCTAAGGCTGGGTTATGTATGGAAACAGATTGCGTCACACCAGTGTCTCTTTGTGACGCTGGGCGCGCTTCCTTTCGGCACCACCCGGACACAAAACCTTCGCGCTTTCCTGCCGTTTCCACTCCGCCTAATTCCGCGCCCACTACATACACCACCTGGTTCTGCTCCTCTTGTTCTTGCCCATTCCACGACTCTCTACTCCGCGCGCTTCCTCACACTACCTGCTTCTGCTCCTCCCGTCCCCGTGTGCAGCGCAATCGGCTTCCATGACTGGGGTTCGACTCCTGGCGCAGGTTGCCGTTTTTTTTTTTTTCAAGATCGTTTTGCGGTTACGGACTGACCGGCCCACGCATTCGAACTTACGCGGTCCCTGAGGTTGTTTGTCTACAGTGTAGTGGAATACGGGGTGGCGTTGGGACCAGAGCAGCTCGCGTGAGGCGTGTGGTGTACATCGCGATA